TCTCTCCCTCCCTCCCTCTCTCTCTCTCTCTCTCTCTCTCTCTCTCTATCTCTCTCTCTCTCTCTCAGATGTTGGAGACCACAGGATGGAAACTCTCTGAATCTGATACATTCTCTTCAAAGCGTCCAATAAAGTTCTCGTGAGGCTGGAACCAGCAGCAGCTGCCGCTCTGTTTCCTGCCGCGGTTTCATTCACTTGTTTGTTCCTCTTAATTACTCTCCAGTGTGATTTGTTTATTAACCAGCAGGGCTTTTATAGTTCCACGAGAGGACACTAATAACATAACTGTAGTTCACAGAGCTGGTGGTCTGATAAAGTCTTTTCATCGCTGTGGAAACAGTGGCACGATGTGACGTCTAGTTTTTAATGTAACTGGCTGATTCACTTCTTAGATAGGACGCCGATCAAAGACACATGAAGGGAGTTCAATGTTTGGGACTTTCTGTGTCTTTTTGGGGGAAATAGTGCAAATGTAGACACTGTTTTACTTTCATCAGTCAGAATACTTGAATTATGCTGGAAGAAATTGGGCTTTGTGAGAGTTGCTCCATTTAAGAAACAGATGAAATGCATTGGAATGAGTATAACCTGGTTAAAACTAAATCAAATATTTAGATAAATATAAGAAGTCAAAGTAATGATGCATAATGTTATTCCTAAATTCAGATAATGGCTTCACGTTTAAAATCACTTTCTCCTAATGCCTCTCTCAAAATGTGTGTGTGTGTGTGTGTGTGTGTGTGTGTGTGTGTGTGTGTGTGTGTGTGTGTGTGTGTGTGTGTGTGTGTGTGTGTGTGTGTGTGTGTGTTTGTGTGTTTAAGTGTGTACCTGAGTAGTAGGAATTCAGCAGGGATTTGCTCTGCAGTGTCTTGCCTCCCTGCACAGCGAATGAGCAGGGAGAGGGGGAGGCTGGAGAAGGAGACACAAGGGAAGAGAGGTGAAGAGAAGGTGAGAAAGAGGACGAGGAAACAAGAGGATGTACGGGAGAAGCAGAATGTGGCGAAGTGAGCGGTGGAGTGGAAGGGGAGGTGTGTGACAGAATAGGAAGGAGAAGGTGGAGGGGAGAACAGAAAAAGAGGACGAATTAGGAGGAGAGAATGGAATAGTGTAAGTGGGAAGTGTAAGGTGGAGATGAATATATGAAAGCAGAGACAGGAAGTGAAGTACAAATGGGGATACAGGACAAAAGGAGAAGGCCGAGAGATAGAAGAGGGATAGTGATCAGTGAGTGAATCTAGAAAGAAACAACAATCAATTATCACAGGACATGATTAACAATGAAAACATACACAAAGAAAGATCCATATTCAACAAAATGAGGAACAATCCAATAACACTAATGGCACCGTCAATGCTACCGTATTGAATTTTGCAATACAAAAGTGGTTCCGTTTCAATGAGCATGCACTCAAATATGACATGCTCTCAATGTTGGTCAATACATACGACTGATTTTGTGGCCGGTATAAAGAATGGCCGTTCAAAGTAAATGGATTGAACCAATGGAGAGGAACAATGATAGCATGTGTCCTGCTAACTCAGCTAGCCAGCACTTATTGAGCAGTGAACTACCTACTGTAGCCTCTCTTCACTTAAACAGATTAATGTGTTATGTGTTTCTAGTGAGGACCAATGGAATTATGACTCCTTGCCGGGGGAAAAGTAGTTTGTAGTGAGTTGGGACAAAACCAAAGTGTATCGTATATGTGAGGTGATTGTCAATCATAAGCCTTAAGAAAAGCCTCAGTGCTACTTGGCATTAATTTGTCAGAATCTCTCCGCCAAAAGATAGTGCTTTTAAAAGGTTGATAGGCCAGAATATCTAGCGTAATGAAAGGGTTGGGGTTTTCATTTTAGAGGGATATTGTTTAGATTTTCATTTTGGTGCACTTTTTTGGCTTTGACGGGTAGCTTCATGCATTGGATAGCTACTGCCTGTTCAAAGCTGCACTGTGGGAATAAAGTCAATAATAGAAAGAGTTGGAAAAAAGCTGAGCCCATACATGAATGCATATACATGGGGATCACCATCAGGTCTGCCAGGGGTTATAAATAAATGAAAGGTAGGATAGACACACACAGGCACACACACCCAATAAGATCAAACCCAGGGGGAATGCTGGGAGACTGACTGTGACATATTATATGCAACCTAAGGCCGTTCAATAATCCACACTATCTGAGCTAGCTTACACACATGTAGCGACACACTACCTGCAGCTAGTTGCTTTGCTGTGTGTGTGCTCACCTAAACGTAAAGACATGTATCCATACACTTTAAGAAGCCATTTAGTAATCATGCATGGCATCATATACAGTATTTTCACTCTTGTTCATAATGTATTTGTTTTGTGTGTTTGAGAGACCTGACGGTCCGAGCAGGGGCCATTAGTGGAAACTCTCCAACTGAAGGAACCTCTCCTCTGCCTCCCTTCATACTCAATGTGCCTCTCCTCTTCGGCCCCTGCATTTCTTTGTCATTGTCTCCACCCCCTCCCCACACTCCCACCATCCCCTCTTCTTGTCACCTCCTTAGCCTGCTTCAGATGCACCTTCTCACCTCTCCTTCCCCTGATATGACGTTTTTAAAGCTTTTTTGTGTTGTTGTCTCAGTTTAAGTACAGCCAACTCATACTCAACGAACAAGTAGTATAAAATAATTCTAAATCAATTAGCATGATGATTTGTAAAACATTCTAGCTCAATGTTGAAAAGTTGTAAAAGCATTAGCAATATCCCAAGGGGTCTTTGGAAGTAGCCACTTATAACATCTTGTAATAATGGCAGCTAAGGTGACACTCAAGTTATCCATTTGTCTCGCTGTCACATTAAAAGAATATGAAGAGAATGACTTGAGAGATACTAATGTAAAATATGTGTAAGTGAGCAGCATCCATAAGTGCATGTGAGCAAAAAAGGTTTTGGAGAGAAACTCCCTCTGGAAGAAACTTTGTAATATGAGTCTTTGCAGAGCATTTATGGACAGCAACCTATATAACACATACAGGAAAGGGAAAATCCCCAAAAAGCATGATAAGGCCTCTTAATATAATTGAATAAATGTGCTCACCAGTAACTGTAAAATGTCTGACTGTTCAAATAATATAGCAGCATGTTTCACTAATGCTCTTAATAATAAGTGTGATGGTAATTTCCTGATGATTCCTCCATACAGGTGCCTTTTTGCCTAATTCATATTCAATGAATTCAATTCTATTTGCTCGACTGTTTCCTGGTACAATGGCACGATTTCCCCCCTAGCAGATCATTTAGGTTCTATCTTCTTGTCGTCTCTCTTTCTTCCTCATCACCTCTCCAAATACCCCCGAAAATATTTCCTCCTCTTCCGTTACAAAATCCCCCTCGTCTAATGCGTACCAGCACTGTATGCTAACGCGCCTCAAAAAGAAGCTCAACTTTAATACAGTGAGGAGTGTTCCTGCATACCAAAAGAAAACTGCTTTGACAGCAATGTCCTGTGAAGATAACTGGTGGCTGGGTGAGAATGCGATAACACAAAAAGGTTATTTGCCCTGCAAGGGTCCATCCGCGGAAATATTATTGGGTCCCCTACCCATCGTCAGCGTTTTTTCTCCGTCTCATTAGGACTGAGCCTGGATCAGTGAGTGTGTGTGTCCTTTGTTTCTTTCCCTTTTTCAAATGTGTGTGTGATAACACTACCAACAGTGAAAGGGAGGCAGTTAGAGGAAGACTATTTCATGGCACCAACTCTGATGAACCAAACAGTTAATTGCCATGGATTCTAACAACAAGGTGTAGAAAGTCACAACAAATATATCTTTCATAGTCTATCCATATCGTTTCAATGGATTGATAATAACATACAATATCTGGTTTGTGTCGCATATGCCAAGACATATTCTTTACTTTCCTCCAAGGATGATAAATAAGAGGAAAGTCTGTCAATTTTTTGGAAGTCTGAACTTCATTCACATATGCCTTACATCAAGAAGACTTATCTGAATGCCAAAACTATATTCGGCCCGAGGCAAGGTCCAGTCAACTGTGCCAGGAAGCAAAAAAATCCATGACTTATAAAATAGCCATTACTTCATCATATATTCAGTTCCCAGGAGAGATTTACCTCTTCTTTTCTAAATTCTTCAAACACGGAAACTGTGTTCATTAACTCAGCAAAAGCAAAGCTAGGTTTAGTTGTAGGAATACTAATACAAAAACTAAAAACGTAATGAAGCAACCAAGGTCAAGAAGAAAATAAGCTTATTCTCTTAATGATGCTATTACCCAATCAAGTTTATTTTACAGAGGACTTATTCTGCTAATTTACAGGTTCATGTTTGTATATTGTGATTTTACTGTGACATGTTACCAAAGATGCCTTAATGTTCAAACAGAGCTTTCTTTTTTACTTTATTGTTCACCCTCTTTCTGAAACTAGAGCCCATTCTGTTTTGATTGGTCAACCCCTTAGAGATATCCCGCCCCTTAGCCTATCACATACAAAGTGTTCGAGCGCTAGCCAATAGAAGCGCGAGTGTTGCATAGTCTTACTTCCATAACATAGTCACGGAAGTAAACAAAGGAGTCCAATGGAGGCGTTTCAGGCAGTGTGGGGGGGTGGGGTGAAACTCCCTCTGCAGGGAACTCTTAGCCTCTGCAGAACATTTTCATGCACTAAATACACTCAAATATGACACTACAGGAAAGGGAAAACCCTGCAAAAAGTACAATAGTGCTCTTTAAACCAATGTCAAAGCTGTATGGTACATTTATAAGTGTTTTAAATGCAAAAACATTATTCTACGTGAGAGTTGCAGTGCGGACAGTAGGAAGAAGAGAGCAGGCAATTATGGGCGACATTAGCCTGCTACTTAGTCCCTCTCCAGCATCCCTGGCTTTAAACGGCCAAGTGCTCCCAAAAGGCCAGCATGACATCTTCAGGAGAAGAAAATGTCCTTCTGAGGGGCCCTGT